GGACGCAAAAGGCGTCGTTAGAGACGTCGCTGTAGGCGACACTGGGATTTCTACTAGAGCGTTCACGACTTCCTCGGCGCGTTCATTCCGATTGCCCCATGTTGCCCTATGATGCCCCATTCGATCTATCGACAGGACAAACCCTGGACCGATCATTACTTAAGGGTCCTGAGACGGAATGGTCACTTGATTTTCGTACCTGTAGCTATTTAACACTAAACGTACCATCGACCGGTCATTTCACCGTTTTAGAGCCGAAAATACGTTTATAAAAAAATGGCCGGTGTGGTTAGTGTTACGAGTGACCGTGTAACGAGCCTCCTCGTTCCTGGTACTCGCGTACAGTTATGTCGTGTTGCACAATTCTTCCCCCTCACCTTCTGCTCGCCTTCTCTCTCTCTCTCTCTCTCTCTCTCTCTCTCTCTCTCTCTCTCTCTCTCTCTCCGCGTGTGTACCTTCTCAGATGCCCACCTCCATATATATATATCTATAGACTTGCAGAGAGAAGCAGTAGGTGCCACGCAACTCGGCCACGGGAAATACGCCACGGCGCCATATTAACTAGTTAGATTATAAAGCAGGAACCAGTTTCCAATCTGGTGCTGCCAATAATAATAATAATAATAATAATAATGCCGCTGGTTCGGCACGCGCTTGCGGGACGCGCATGAGCTACACGTGAGAGACACGTATGAAGTTTACGAACGCTATGGAGAATTCAAAGGGAAGGTCGCGCCATTGTTGACGCCGCCCAGAACCTAACCTAACCTACATTTTAGGTGCCTGTTCTTCTATACCTATATGCATGTATATTATCTCCGCACTCGGCGTAATTCAGTTAGTCGATTCGACGACGATGGAATCTGCGTTTAAGAGCACGCGACGCCCGGCGACGCCCAGCGACGTCCGGCGTCGTCTTAAAAATCCTCCCCCGGGAACCTCCTTATCGCATATTTTCATTGTGGATTCTCCGTCTCTCGCCATGAAATTCTCACGTGTACCAGTATCCATGCAGATTATCAGTTTCCCATCTTCTCCCTGAAGTCGAAGCGAGAAGAGAAAAAAAAAACACTTGCTCGCTTTCTTTGCTTCATTTCAAGGAAGCTGAGAAATGCCGCCGAGGCACATTCGCAGTTGGTTATAAAACCAACTAAGTAACGGGAAACTCGTCTTTCGTCTTTCGTCTTTCGAAGCTGGATGGACCTCTCTGTCTAATGTCGCTGAACCTCCGTGACGTCACTTTGGCACGAGGAGAAGCCAGAAGGGCAGTTTAAAGGCAGTTCTTAGCGGCTCCGAACGTCAATTGAATTGCTGAATTCATTTTCCGATTTCTTAATCGATGCGCTCCGCTTTTCACAAAGACTCCTGATCTCAAGGTTATGCGATCTCGATCGCCCCAAAGAATTTGAAAAAGTATAGTCAGCGAGCGTAATGCCTGTTTTAAAAGATTATATGAATTATTTCCTTGCGTGAATTCAGTTTGGCATTATTGTGTTACGTCACGTCAGCACGTTGCATCGAAGCATTGTCGCGTCTATCACAAAAAGCCTCCTCCCCCTTCCCCCTCGAAAACACACCCGCTGCTGACACCAGATCCAGATCCTCCCATTATTCACTGATCCTCCACATTCACTGCTGCCGAATGTGGGACGAGCATAGATTTCCATAATGTCGAGGCTTTTCCCGCTGCGCAATGGGGAGGCGCAATGGCGCCTTGTTTGCTCGTGTAAACGTCCGGCACTGGCAACGCTGCGATATCCGTCACAGTTAATAACTAATCGAAGCATAACTCATTATATTTTCATGCAATTTGAAAAAGCAACCGAAATTGGGAGAGAGGCGGTGGTGGGGTGGTGGGGTGGTGGGGTAAAGGCGACCCCCTGACCCTACGAATGATTAAGAATCAAATGTTAACGAGGCATGGTCAATAGATAGGTTATCAAATGGAGCGTCAAATCCCTTTCGAATTTCTATTCCTATTACACTCGGTCCGGACGATCCTCCAGGATGCAGGAGATCGCTTGGAGATGAGGAAAGAGTATTCAGAACGTGTAACCGTGATGGCGGAAGGGAGGGAGACGAACGGAATAAAGGGAATAAAGGAAATAAATAATGGAATGGAAAAGCCGCTACGCGACTGACCCGTATGGCATTGGCATCCGAGTAACGTTCGATGGCGGAAACGTGCTTGGTATCTTAAGAAGAAGATAAAAAAGCCTCTAACTACCATAGGACAATTAAGTTTCTTTTTGTCCTTTTTGAAAATGCTTAAACTCATCTGCACGTCAGCTACGAGGATCGTAGTAGGTAGATCCATCAGTGGGCGAATGTCCGTAGGATTCTCGGCCACGCGCGACTGGTGCTGCCGCCAGCTGGATGCTCGTCAAGCACAATTGTGCCTTTTACGAGATCGCATAAGTAACGCATGAGGGCAGGAGGAATGGGTGGGCGGAGGAGGGAGGTCATTGCTCAGGATACGACAGTGCTCTCCCAATGCGTCTGTAGGTTCGTCGTGACGACATCAAATGACCCTTTTTACGAAGTCAGGCGCAATTCGGTGATCTTGTCCCTCGTGCTCCTTCGAGGCAGCCTGACGTGAGGGAGGAGCGCATCCTGATCCTTGAGAATGTGCAGGGCCGCGGAGAGAAGAATTCGAGGAGCCACGTGGCTCGGTTAGCAGGGTTCAAATCCTCCTTGAAATTTGAAAAAGGTTAAAGTAGCCGGACAAGTGCAGGAACCTTATTGAAATTCTTTGGCTCGATTCGAGACTCGCGTGACTGATATCGCTTCTCTCCTGTTTTGCATGGGAGAATATTTCACTGGCGTTTGCTGCACCCTTAAAGGACCTTCGCTGGAAGCATTTGGCTGCTTTGGCCGAGGACGAAAATGAATTGCCGCGTCAGGAACCTTCTTCAGGTGGAATTTCAAACTGGAGGTTCATTTATTATCTCGGGAATTTCGGGTGTTCTCAGAATCTCAGGAATTGGCGCGCAACCGGGTTATCATGCGACACGCACGTTGCACAAATGGTGCATGCATGCATGCTGTGCATCGGATTTACCTGTAGAATAAATGGGAATGTCGAGGAGGCAGAAGATTTAAATAAGAGCCGGCGAATAAATAGCCTTGAGGATTGGCCACTCTTGCAGCGAGTGCTCGGGCATCGTGCGATTGACGTTCTTGCGGCAGCGGAGATTATTTATTTACAAAAGTCATTCCAAGTCCGATTTAACGCGTGAGACTTTATTCGAGCATAATGCAAGGCACTTTATTGCTCGACTGTCATTTTCCGCATTTCCTCCACCCCTCCGCCCCCTCCACCCCCTCCACTTCCTTCATCGCATGGTGCATGCATAGTTGCATGCACGTGCATGCGTCCTTCTCAAATTTGCATCTGCTGCTCGGCCAGACAGGCAACTGGATAGACGGATAGATCGACCGAGGGGCAGTGGAAGCTGCGGTTGCGCGTACGGAGTTCTTAATTCGCATAACGAAACAATGGGAACTTTCAAAATTTCTAAAGAGCAGCCAGCTGTTTCCGCGAGAGATAAATTATACATGGCGTGTTCAAAATTCCATTACTAAATAGAAAAGAATATTTCCAAGCTCTCAGTACTCTGTGGGTAAATTCCAGAAAGCTTTGGGACTGAAAAGCCCTTCCCTGGAGTGTAATTTAATTGAGTCCGCGATGCCATTAGCTACGCGATCCTCTGTCTCGAGCTAATCCCTCTGCCTCCCATTAGGAGCTCCTGCTGCACCTTTTGCCCGGCGCATTCTGCCTTTTACTACTCGACAGCGAATCCAACTGTAGACCAAAAAGTCTGTCTCTTCGTTCTTCCACTTTTTTAATCCGAGAAACTGGCGAAATGTCGATTGTCCCGAACAAGTAAAATATGACGAGTCTAGTGACGTCTATAGGGGACTAGAAATATTGCACAGAACGACCAAGCCTTTATGCGTCTCGAAACAGGATTGAATTCCCATAAGGACGTCCCAGTCGCTCAAGTGATGCAATTCGCAAAGAAAAATGCATAAGATGCGCCACAAGGGAATTTAAAGGGGGAGACGTAAAGAGAAAGAACCCCTTCCCCCCCCTCCATCCTCCCACCTGCAAAACCTGGAGGAATGGATGGCACAGGAAATAATACTCTTTTAAATCCAGACTATTTCTCTTACTTCGTGTTCCGATGCAGGAACTGGAAAGTGACTATGGGTGGTTAAATCAGAGAGAGAGAGAGAGAGAGAGAGAGAATGCATTTACGTAAAGACAGTTGAAAAGGGTTAGGATGCAAGAGAGAAAAAGTGCAGCGTGCAGCACTCACTTAAAATGCATGAGTTCCTCCCGCAGTGAATGCACTTGGGAGAAAATGTCTCCGGGAGCCTGGAGGCGCGTTGCATCTGGATTCCAGGAAGAGGCTGGGTACGTCGGGACGGTCGGGAAAAGACATTCGCGCACTGGCAGCCATTGTGCACTATTTCTTAAAGGATTTCTCCAACCGGAGTAAAGGGACTTTGCATCCCTCCAAGAGCCGCATGCATGCCACATCGTTAGCGAATTCACCCGATGCACCCGATGCACCCGATGCACTTGGCACCCTGGCGACTGGAGAATGTTCAGGGTGCAGCGAGAGGGAATGAATGGGCTGAAGGGCCGGAGGAATCGGTGCCTATTCCAATAGGGTTCTGCGAGAGGGTGGATTCGAATGGGGATGAATACGTAGAATAATCCCTGCTGGGAATTATCGAATTTCGTGAACTCGCGCAAAAGCCAGTCCGTCGGGCGTTAATTGCTCATTGTCCTAGGGAAAATGCTCACGGATTTCGGATTTCGTCCGGCGACGAATCGGGATTCGGCATTTGGTTGTCGATTGGCACGAGCGACTTGCGCCGAGTTAAGCGTCGTCAGCAGCCAATATATCCTCCAGCAGCACGAATAGCACGAATATTCTATATAGAAATGTTGCTTTTCTTTGCTAATCAGCTGGTGAATTTTGTTACAGCGTCGGGATCGGGATCGGTCATAGGACGAGATCCTCTTCCGCCGAGGGCGGTGAGCACTTCCCAGCTACCCCAGAGAGCATCGACGCAGCCACCCTCCGGGGTGTCGACGCTTCCTCTGCCGCGAACCACCAGACAACAGCCGCTTCCGGTTCAGCAATCGACGGCCCAAACAAGGGGGTGCGAACGTACAGGCGTCGTTAATGAGATACTGAGGGTGGCCAGTAGCGGTGACGTCAGAACTGGATCGCCAGGGTCAGTTTCATTTCTTCCGACACACTCGTGCATTCATACGCACGCAATGCCGCAAGACTCCCAGGCTGGATCAGGGACGCAGTTTCCTTGGGATTTTTTAATAAGTTTTCGAAATTGCGAGCAGCACCAGTCGATATGCTGCTGCGGCGAGACGCCAATATTTTAAAGGCTGAGTCGAGCCTGTAATTTCCCAGCGACACGCTCTCCTGTATATAACCTCCGTGCGTGTATAAGGGCTTGTGCTGGGTGGTCGAATGGGTAACGTCGAGTCAGCGCCGACCAATCCAGACGCGGGTCCACGTGGAAGAAGCTCCGAGCTTATCCGGGAACATAAATAAAGGGATTTCCGGGAAATCCTTCATGCCTTCCGATGGTCAGACCTTGATCGCACTTGTTTTCTCCGAATCTCAGGACCACCCTGGACTCAACGGGGAATCATCGGACCGAAGGGAGGAAAGCATCCCCTGGAGTTGGGCAACCTGCACAGAGGCTCTCCAGTCCAGCCCCGAGGGTCGTTTCTCCCAGCGAGCACAGAATGTCCAGTCCCAGCGACAGCGAAAGGCATATTAACGGTATAACAGCAGTAATAATTTTAATATCAAATAAAGCGAAACCCGAGGAAATGCTTAAGAGTCCCCCGAGAAGATGTATTGGTTTTCTTTTTACGAAGTAAGATAAGAAAGAAGCCTCGTACCTCCTTCGTACGAGAGATAACAATAGTTTGGTCGATTTGGCACCTGGCGCGATCTTGCGTTGAGATTCTGCAACTCGAGAGACTGCAACTGCAGCGCACTGCACCCGAGCGGTTCAAGTGCAGCAATGCAGTTTCTCTCGAGGTTATCGACTCTTTCTTTTCATACGGGCAAACCCGAGCCACACTGTACCGCAAAAACCTAACTTGGCACGTTCCCCGGCACCACCACCACCACCACCACCACCACCACCACCACCACCGAATATTATATAGCTTCTCAGGGGATCATTTTCAAAGTGCAAGGATTCAATGTAAAGCATGACTTCCCACGCGCACGTAGTAAGTATTCCGGACTGTTTTTCGAGCGGCTAAGGGATCGCACCATTTGAACGGGGGACGTTTGAATAAACCAGGCTCAACTAAATCCGAACTTCCGAACTTCCGAACTCCCGTGCGACATAAATTCCAGCCTTTTCCTGGGTTCGAAGTAAGTCGCGTGTCGGAGTTAATTATTCAAAGGAGCCCCCGGGATCGGCCGAGGTGCCTCCTTCGCTCCGCTGGTTGGCTCCCTGGCTCGGGTCTACTCCTAGTGCGCGTATGCTATCCCTGCGGGCATTTGGATTTACGCCTCGAATAATGGAAGCGCTAAGCGGAGCGAGTCAATTAATTCCTCCAACTAATTTCGACTGCCAATGTCATTTCGAAACATCACGAAAATGTCCGATAAGTCATTTTCGAAGGTGAATAGTGAAGGTTAAAAAAATACCTACTCGGCCACCAGTCCCCTAGACATCCTCGTTCATCCCGCAGGACGCAGGGACGCCAAGGACGCCAAGGACGCCAAGGACCTGCGCCAAATATCCGAGTGACTCGCGCATGCGGCAATGAATAATTCATTGTTTGCAGTTGAACAGCCTCTGGCATGCGAGCGTAATGCTTTTCGACGGCACACTCGCCGGATACTCGCATCGGTTTTCCCAAATTCCTGAGCAGTTTAATGTAAATTCCTACGTATACGTGTGTATACGGTAAGGTGACTCGAGCGACGCAGCCACTCGCTACCCTCAGGGACGCAGAAGTCGGCTGAAGCGAGCAGGCATAATCGAATCAAACTGAAAAGGCTAATTTCCCCGAATTTAAAGTCAAGCGAAAAGCAACTTACCGAGGGAAATGTGTGTACAGGCGAGAGGAAGGCAGCCAGTCCCACCGGTCGAGATGGCGGGGGGACAGGGATGCTGCGACAGAATCAGCGCAGCAACACGAGGGACGCCGGTGAACTCTCGAGCAAAAGGGTAAGTCACGCGAAACTATTTGGCTGCTAATTTTTCGGACAGAACGCGGGAACTCGTGCTAGACGTTCAAAGAGACAGAAGTGAGGAGGCTAAACGCTCAACCGGTGAGAACAGCTCCAGGGTGCAGCAGCCGGGTGCACGGATCGGCCCTCATCTTCTCGAGCTAGTCTTTCATTACATTGCTCAGTGAGACCAATTAATTAAACCTGCTTCGTCGCAAGCGAACGAGAAGGAAGCAACGAACCCCCCATCTGTCCCACCTGTCCCACCTATCCCACCTATCCCACCTATCCTGCTTGTTACTCCGCTCAGAGTCCGAAACTAATTGCACTTGGTGCAGTTACTTACTCGGGACAGAGAAGAGCAGAAGCATAACGGCGGAAGACTGTTGACTGACATGCGAATAACTGTTAAGGAAATTCAACTAGGAAAATAAGTAGAGAACAGTGGGCTACGTGGGTTTGAGCCACAGTCGCAGAATGCACGTGTATCGCAGAACCCTGTCAACGCAATTATGTTGTAATTCCTGTTGAATAGGAAATACCACAGATTTAATGTCTTTCGAGATGTAGCACGTGACACGGAGAAGAGGGAATATAGGAGGATCGGACAAGCGGCGACTGCAGTAGCGAAGCTTCGGGAGATTCCGGATGGTCGGAAGGTTCCAGAGGACGATGCCAGGACGTTCAGAGAAGTCCTCGTGCCAGCCAGATCGAGCCGGATGCTAGTCTTAATCCTGAAGGCCCGTGTGTAACGCGCTAAATCTATCGATGCGACTTCAGTCTATTCAACAATGTCCTACCGTTACATCTGGAAAGAGAGAAGGACACATCAGAATCCTTCCTGACACGTAAATTCATCCATTGCCCTCTCTTGCCCTCTCTTGCCTTCTGTTGCCAACGAAGCCTGGCTGGATATTAAAGGGAAGCTTCTACAGGCGCGTCCACACTTTGGCGTCAATGCATTTCTAATCGGAGAGGGTGATTAGGCCATCAGAGGGAATGCAATTCGACAGAGTAGACCGTTAAATTCGATTAGAATCACTTTATCCTTGTGTGAACGGACCTTAAAGCGCCGCGGTCTCCGTCGACTCTCTCTCTCTCTCTCGCTCTCTCTCTCTCTCTATCAGTACAGTCTGTGTAATACCACCATTGCAAAGCTGTATTATCTGAATCCTGCTTCACTATAAGTAATACGGATGGATTTGGAAACAATTTGTGTTACAAAGCTTTCCCTATAGGTTCACCTCCCCGCAGAGTACCTACTACATCCATCCTTAAAGGATGAACCCACAAGGTATACCGACTACAGTCGCTCCGAACGTAAGCGACCCTCGCGCCTTTGGAGGTGAGGGCGATAAGGGTTAGCTCCGCAGCATCCGCCGAGCTCTCTAGCGCGTTTGAGTTTCATTGACCTGTCAGCCGCAGCTGTCGGCTTTAATATCATCGCAAATCTCGGCAACTCGATCTGCCAAAAAACTTTTTTCTTTAGAAACACGCAGCCACACGGACGGACGAAAATACCTGAAAAGTTGGTTTCGATTTCGTGCGAGTGACGTCATACGTGATACCTTCTGCAGCACGTAATGACCTAACGACCTATCGCTCCCCTCGTTGCAATCTCACTGATTCTGACGTTCTGGGAAATTTGTTGTCGGTCTCCCCCCAGCCCCTCCTTCTTCTTTTATGTTTTTCCATTTGATGCTCCGCAATTCGCTTCCGGCAACCAAGTGCCACGCTGAGCCATTACTGCCCTTACTGCCCACAGCCAGTCACTCTTTTTTCATGCCGTTGTCATGTTCTCTCTCTCTCTCTCTCTCCCCCCCTCCCCCGCTCCTCATGTCCTCAACACGAAATCCCTGCTGCTATTGACGAGTGGAAATTGCCGAATGCGTATCAATTCGAAAAGCTATCGAGTTGCTGCAGAGTGGAAAACAATTTGCCCTGAGGACGAATGGCTCGAGAATATCGCTGGCGGAAGAAGAATTTTTGAAAATTTCGACGACAGAACAATCCCCGTTCTCGCGAGCATGGAAACTGGTGGCAATTAGATGCCTTCGCTTCCTGTCCAGTTACAGATCAACAGGAAGACGGGAAATGGCTGATTCGCGTTGACGTACTTTAGCCAATGAAATCCGTATAAAGATAAACTAACGATTTCCCGCATCTCCCGAATTCGGCTATAAGGAAGAGCAGAACCAAAAGAAGAAAAAGTCTCTTTAAAAACTCACCTCGTCGATCATGATCCACGTCGAGAGTTTTCCAAGTAGTACGTCATCCCGATCATTGGCGACCGACGTTTAGCTCCTGATCTTAGTCGCAGTCTCCCAAGTCTTCAGCAGCACCACTTTTCCTCCAGTCCACTTAATCCTCGTGGCAGTTGCGGATGGGCACCGTCGTATCCGGATCTGCGAACAGGAGAGATCAGGTCAATAAATCTGTAGCATCGGCAGACCGATAAAACCCTTGGGAAATCCTGGGCTATATCCTATGTAGGGGATCAAGTAGTTTAGTCAGAGATTACGAATTGGAGTTTGCGGACAAAGGAAGTAAACATATGAAGAGCGAGATAGAGATAGAGAGAAGCGAAAAGACACAAGTGAAAAAATGAAAAAAAAAAAAGAAGGAACGGAGGAAGGAAGAAAAAGAATCCTTTGGCCAATTGGCAGGCAGCCTTGATCCTGCCAGCTGAAAGGGCTCCTCCGACCCTGAGACTGGTTTCTGTGCCACAGTGCCGGATTACGTCGGTAAGAACCCCAGGAGTTTATAGGATGTACCGCAAGTCCATGTACTCTGCTAGAACCCTTATGGATTTAGAAAATAATACTTTGAAGCATCCCCATCCATCATATGTATTGTAACGTAATTCTTTTAACCTATGACCCGACCCAATAGCAAAACATACGAGAACGACTATCTTCGAGAACCAACCTACGTTACCTTCGGCCGTCCACCCGTCGTTCGTGCATCCGCAAGCCAGGCGGCCGCCAGCCGATTCTTTTTTCACCGGGAACTGACTAGCCGGTATAAACTGGGAGTTGGGGTGGAACAGGCCCAACTGCACCGCGAACGAGAGCTCTGACGGAACTTATCAGACGAGGCGATAGCTTAACGGATCCTGTCAATTTTTGGGGTCGCGTAAAATCAGCAAACGCACCTGGATGCACGAACGGGAGCGGACGGGTACGGAAATGCACGGCCGCTCAGGCTGCTAGGTTTGAGGTAGAGAGGGTCGGAGTAAGAGTCCGGCAAATAGTGCGAGAGACAGAGAGCGACGAACCGAGAACGTATCAGAACGAATCTTAACTATCTATCGAGATCCCTTCACCAATTAATAAATTGGGAGACTCACCGGAGCTGGTGCAGCTAATAACGAATCTTAATTGTCTATCGAGATCCCTTCACCAATTAATAAATTGGGAGACTCACCGGAGCTGGTGCAGCTAATCCGTGGAGGCCGAGAACCGCATCCAAAGGACACTCTGGTGGACACTGCACTAAAGCACTGCACTACACCTTCGGAACACTCACAGGAATTCATAGAATTGCCTGGGTGTCGCGAGAACAACGCGAGAACTGTACGAATCGAGAACTTGCTATACCGCAGCGAAACACGGCAAGAAAAACTATCAACAGATAGCACGGGAGCGCGATGTCCCTCGTGACACCTCGGTCGGTGCCCCGAGACAGACTGCTTTGACAATAGCCAAATGCCTATTCCGAGAACTAATCATTCTGATTGGTCGAGAGCCTTATGACCGATAACTCTTCCATCTCCTTCTAGTCGTACCTTTAAACCAAATCGAGAGCGTTTCTTAACGAATCGGTACGTAACACTTCTGGAGATCCTCCACGGCCGCTTCCCCAGGGCATCGGGCGACAGCTGGGCACCACATCCTTAACTCGGGCAGGAGGTTCCTCC